CCTGTGCTGCTGCTGCTGCTGCTGCTGCCGCTGCTGCTGCTGCTGCCGCTGCCGGTGCCGCTGCTGCCGCTGCCGCTGCGCTGCTGCCGCTGCTGCTGCTGCTCCTGCTGCTGCTGCTGCTGCTGCTGCTGCTGCTGCTGCTACGGCCGTTTTTCCCTGCTGCTCGTGGCGGCAGCGTTGGCCGCGGCTGCAGTTTGGCAGCAGGTTGTGAGTGTCAGCAGCCCGCGGCCTGGTATCGACCGCCAGGCTCGCGGCACCTTACAGTCAAGCTGCACGCTTTTCACGTCCTCGTCCTCGCATCCTTGCCGCCACAGGCTTATCGAGGCCGCCATCCACTCGCTGCTTACGCCAGAGGGCAGAGCGCTGACGCAGGTGTGTAATGTTTTGGGGCAAGGGACGCACTTTCCGCCCCACCAGCTGCTGCATGCAAGCCGCGGATGAGATCATAGCCATGATAGTGCCATGCCACCTTGTTTGCTTGCCCAGGCGACATGTTGTCTTCTGCGCTGCCTCACCATGCACGCTGCCGCTCGCCCAAACATCCACACCTCCCTTGCAGCGGCTATTGAAAGACGCCGTCGGCAGCATGCATGGTTACTGATGCGATAGAAGTGATATAGACCAGCCATACATGTGTAAGAATGTGCACTTTTGTGCGCGTGCGGCACATGCCTTGCCTCTGCTGTGTGTCCACTATGCAAGGCGGCGGTCTATCAACGCTGCATATTGCAGCACAGACATGGGCAGGGAGGGCGGCCGAAGTGGCCAAGGGCAATACTCTGCTGAGGAGGAGAGATCTTCATAACGCAGCGCACGGCAAGTTGGCGCCAAAACAGTGCTGTTGGTGCGCGAAGTCGAAGACGCGCGTTGGTGCGGGCTGCTGGTGTACCAGCAGCCAAGGGGGTGCGGGGAGGCGTGTCAGCGGCCACCACGCTCCCTCACAAACAACAGCTGCGCACTGACAAAATATGGCAAAGCTGGGGCGATTCTGGGTGCACGTTGCAAATGCATTTCAGTGCTATGACAGGCCAGAAAACAGCCAAGCGGAAGGAGGAAAGGGTGAGGAGTTTGATTATGCTTATAAACGTGAGAACATGCGCGCTCCGTCGAAGGTAAAAACACAGCCACTTGGGGCCAAACGGCTGCTGCAAGGTGGCCCAAAAGGCGGACCTCAGCGCTAAAGCGGGCAAGCGGCTGCCAGGTGCCAGGCCAAGTTGGCAACACTCGCAAAGCCCACGGCCAACGTGGCACGTTGGTAGCTGCAGGTGAGAGCACCATCCATGGCCGCCCCGGTTGCAAGGGCGCCGGGGCGGAGTGCAGTGTGTGCATGCGTTTGCGGGGCTCCCAGCCACCTCTTGGGGTGGGTGACGCTGCTGCGGCTGAGCTGCTGTGAGCAGGGTCAGTGCAACATGGGGACATCAACCCCCTTGCGCCGCGAGGCTGTGTTATTGAATTGATAACGTATGAACTGCGGCAGCAGAGTGGCTAAAACGACGGCCTAGAAACCGACAAGTGCCTTCTGGTGCCAAGGCGACCGAATTGGAAGCAGCCGCAGGAAGCCATCACCTTTTGTCAACGTGAGGTCTCAGAAATAGAGGGCTCCCAGCCGACAGCAACACCTCAGCCGAATGCAATCTGCAAAGGGCCAGCCCTGCCTGGCTGGCCCCTCGTCACGCCAGCACTCGGGCGGGCACGGCGCCCACGGCCGCCGGCGCCGCCGCCGCGCGCCGCCGCCGCAGCGCCGCCGCCATCTCCTCCAGCGCGGCCACGAGCTCGGCCGCACTCGGCCGCGCGGCCGCCTCGCGCGCCCAGCAGCGCCGCACTAGCGCCTCGAACCCTGGGGCGGGCTCCGGCGGCGCGCCCGTCGACGTGGCCCAGTCCCGGTCGCCGGGCAGCGGCAGCTGCAGGCCCTCGGGCTGAGTCAGCGCGTGGAGCAGCGCGTGGAGGGCCAGCTCCTCAAAGGGCTCGCGCTGGGTCCAGATCTCCCACCTGTTTGGGGGGGAGGGCGCGGCGGGGCGGGGTGTCCAACGGCAAGACTGCACTGGAACACAATCAAAACGCGGGTGCGCACACTGCTGCATGCTGCAACTCGCCTCAACTAGCACAACACACCAAAAGCATCAAGCAAATATTCAACCTTGTGTATTCGTGCATATCCCCAGCAATCCCCAATACACCCATACATGCACACACACGATGCTCCTGCAAGCGGCAGCTTGCGCGCGCACACTCACACAATGACACAAACACACGTACACACAGGCACCGCGAGGGCGCCCGACTCACATGACCACCCCGAAGGAGTAGACGTCGCTGCCCTCGTTCACAGCCTCGGGGTTCTTGAGGATCTCCGGCGCCATCCACGGCAGCGTGCCGCGAAGTGACGTCACACCTAGGGGGTCCGGTTGTGGGGAGAAATAATTTGAGAAGCCTGGACCTTATTATGGGGGATTGTGGGGTGCATCACGAGTAGGCATGCCAGGGGCACCGCTGAGAGCTGCATGCGCCGCAGGCCCCCTCATAACACGACGAGCCCTGGAGCGCCCTCAGCGCGCGGCCCCACCCCGCCCCACGCCCGCAGTCCCACCCCCGCGCCCCGCGTTGCCTCGCACGCGCACGCGCCCCCCGCTCACCGCTGACGTAGGTCTGCCGCCGCTGCTTGGCCAGGCCAAAGTCGCAGAGCTTGCCGTGGGGCACCTTGTCCCTTATGCCCACCAGGATGTTGGCGGCCTTCAGGTCAAAGTGCACAATTTTCTGGGGGTTTGGAGGGGTAGGGCGGCGATGAGGTGCAATGAAGATTAAGCCCAGTGAAGAGGGGGGCGATGGGGCAGGGGGCTGAGCTGGGGTTGGCAAGACGAGGGCATGGGCAGGGGGGTGCTGCAGGGCGGCGGCCATCAACGCCGCACGCGTGACAACGCTCGGCGCCGCACGGGGTGAAGCGGGGTGTTTACGAGTCAGGCGCTGCTGCGCATGTGTTCACCTTTGAGTGCAGGTAGTCCAGGCCGCGCGCCGTGTCGAGCAGCAGCTTCACGCGTGCCTGCGGCGCCGCCAGCCACTCGGCGCGCGAGTTGATCGCGGAGCGCAGGCTGCCGTGCGCCAGGTACTCCACCACCAGGGCGGGCGGCCGCACGGCGGGCGCGTCCGAGTTGCGGCTGCGCGCCAGCAGCTCTGAGGGGGGCGCGGCGGCGACGCAGCCGGTTGGTCAGCGGGGGGAAAGGGGGGTCGATGGCTTTCGCCACTGCGAGGGCGGCGAACTCGCAGCATGCGAGCCGGCCTACGCACTCGCAGCGGCAGCCGCAAGGCGACTGCGCGGCGTCCGGCTGCCAGCTGCGCGGCCCCGGGGCGCCGCCCAAAGCATGCCTGCCCCGGGCCCCCAATCCGGGCAGCCCCGCCTCCCCCCCTCGCCGCACCTGGATCCGGCGCCGGCTCGCCCGCGTGCGCGCACTGCGGCAGCACCGCCCCGTAGACCGCCACTATGTTGGGGTGCCTCAGGCCCGCCAGGATGCCGGCCTCGCGCAGCAGGTCCGACACGGCCGCGATGGAGGGGGCGCCCGTGGTGGAGCCGTCGGCGACCAGCAGGCTGGGGCTGAGGCACTTGACTGCCACGTCTGTGGAGCGCCACTTGGACAGGAAGACCTGGGGGTGCACGGGTTTGGGGGCGGGGGTTCGGGGGGGCGTTGACGGGATCGCGACACGCGTTTGAGGGGCTGGGCAGCAAGGCCGCCTTGCATGGGAGGCGTGAGCGCAGATTCGGCGCAGGGGCGGGCGGGCTGCTGCGACTTGTCCACGATACATACACCCAGGGCTGCCCTCCGACGCCGCCGGACGCAGTCGCCCCGCATGCAACCCCCGCCCTCTGCCCGCGCAGCGCCCCCAATCCCGGGCATCCCACCAAAACCAGGCGCACCTCTCCAAACGCGCCGGCGCCCAGCAGCCGCACGACCTGCAGCTCCCACGGCCGGATGACCTCCACGCGCGCCCGCAGGTCCCGCACGTAGCCACACAGCTCCTCCTTGGCCGCCGCGTCGCCCGACGGCAGCGCGCCCGACGGCGCCGCGCTCGGGGCCGTCGCGACGCTGCCATAGTATCCGGCCCCCAGGGGCGTCCCGCCAGAGCCTGCGGTGCCGCCGTCGGTGGAGCTCGCGCGCGGCGCGCGCCCGCCGCCGCCGCCGCCGCTCCCGCCGCGGCCGCCGCGGTCGCTGCTGCCGCTGCTGCCGCTGCTGCTGGCGCTGCCGGCGCTGCTCGGCGGCCCGGGCGCCTTGTGGCTGCCCATGGACAGCGGGCCGGAGGCCAGGGCCTCGACGGCGGCCGCCCCGCCGGCCGCGGCCGCAACCTCCCCGGCCACGCGCACAAAGCGGGCCTCGTCGACGTCCAGGTACAGCTGCAGCTTCGCGGCAGCTGCGCCGCCCTTGACGGCAGCCGCGGCGAAGTCCTGGTACTCCTCGAGCATGTTGGTGAGGTCGTCCTCGGAGTTGAGGTCCAGTAGCACGCAGTCGGCGCCAGGGAGGGCGTACTTGAGGTGGCATTGCTGCGGCGGGAAGTTGGAGGGGCGGAGGCGGGGCGGAGGGCGGGATGAGAAGGACGCTTTCACCAAGGTGAGGGTGCAGGCAGGGGTGGTGAGGCGCGTCGCATTGCGTGCGGGTGCAGGCCTGGGGGTTGAGGGCGCGGCGCGGGGTGCATTGCAGCAGGCACGCCACTCAACACAACACCCCATCAGGCCCCGGCGCCTCCCAGAGGGCCCAGCCCAGGCCAGAAGCCGATATGGGGACCGCACACGCACCAAGGGGCAGACGTCGCCGCCGACCGCTGCAGCGACCTGCTCTTTCAGCCGCTGCAGCCCGCCGTCACACGTGATGGTGACCAGCTTCTTGGAGCCGCCGTTGTAGACGCAGTGCGCGCGCGTGCACATGAACGCGCCGCCGTGCGCCAGCACGACACGCAGGCGCCCGAGCGCGAGCGCCGGGGCGCTCGCAGCCGACAGCGCCTGCGACGGCAGCGGGCCCAGGCCGGCGCGGCCCGCGTCGGCAAACGGCTCCGAGATGGTGCGGCGCGGCGCCCTGCCGGCGCTGCAGCCGCCGCCGCCGTCGCCGCCGCCGCCGCTCGAGCCGACGGAGCAGCCGTACGCGCCCCGCCGCAGCTCCCGCTGCTGCTTCTGGTGCAGCTTCAGCTGCCGCGACTCCTCCTTCTCCCTCTCCCGCTCCTGAATCCGCTCTGGCGTGCACCGCCGGCTCCACGGCCAGTGCAGGGAGCTCATAATCGTCTCCCCCAGCCCCCGCCGCCGCGGCTCGTCCCGCCCCCCCGCCGAGCCCCCGCCGGGCGTCCCGGGCAGCGCGTCGCCGCCCCCGGGCCAACTGCCGGGCAGCTGCCGCCCGGAAGAGCCGCCGCTGCCGTGCGCGCCGCCGCCGGGCTCGCCGGGCGCGGAGGCGCGCAAGGGCGCGAGGTGGTGGCCGCTGGACACGTCCATTCCAAACAGGTCCTCCCCTGAATCTCCAGACAGCGACCGCGAATGGCCAGGTTTTACCGCGTCTGCAGCCGCGTCGCCGCTGCCGCCGCGTGCAATGTCGGACTCGAGCTGCTGCGGGCGCCGCGCGTCCTCTGCTGATTGCAGCCCCTCTCCCTGCCACTCCTCGGGGTAGGCTTCCAGCCCCACACCCACATTGCCAGCCAGTGGCAAGCCAGCCGCACCCGCCGCGCCGCCCACCGGCGACGGCGACCCGGCGGCGGGCCCGCTGCGCGTGTGCTCCGAGGATGGGAAGCTGTGGACGGATGACGCGCGGCTGTGCGCGGGCTCCTGCGACCCCGAGCGCCGCACCGTCTCGAACGACCCCATCCACCCACCGCTGCTGACGCCGTCGCCGCCGTCCGCGCGCGGCGGCGAGGGCGGCGCGGGAGCGGTGGAGGCGGCGAAGGCCGAGGCGGCCAGCGGCGGCGCGGCGGCGGGCGGGCTGCACGGCTCGTCCATGTCGAAATATTCGGTGTAGATGAAGGCGCCGGAAGCCGGGTTGGAGCGGGCCGACGCCGCCGCGGCCTCCTCTTC